AAAAAAAAATAAAATTGAAAAAAAACCCAAAATTAAACCCAAAAAAAAAAAAAAATGAAAACCCCCCCCCCCCAAAAAAAAAAACCACTTCATCTCACAGAACCTCAACAAAAAATTGGAGACAAATATATGAAAAAATCTTTAGTTTCACAAAAAAAGAGACAAATATATGAAAAAATCTTTAGTTTCACAAAAAAAGAAAAAAAAAATTGAACCTTTTGACCGAAAATTTTGTTTCACACTCAAACCGTGCATTTCATTAATAGTAATTGGTGTTACAAAAATAAATTGCACACAAGGGTTTCACGGATGAACAGAACAGAGCGGTGAGATCAGGATGGATTTAGAAACAAAAAAACCAAAACAAAACAGAAAGCTCAACGTACCTGACGATGGGTGGGTTTTGCAGACGGTGAGTTGTTCTTTGACGCCGCAGATTTGCCGTCCAATGGCGTTCGGCTTTAGTAAGCTCCGCGAGTCTTCTTTGACGGCGCAGATGTGTACTCTGATGGCGATTGGGTTTGGCAAGGTTGGAGAGCTGTAATCACTGTTCAGCTTCGCCAACTGTCCTCCTTGGCTTCAGCATGAACCACACGTGTGTGTGCCCTAACCAAGCGTAGGTGTTGTGTGTGTGTGGTGAGGCGATTCTGCTGTGATGAAGCATAAGTGAGAGAGGGGTAGTTTGGTAAAATCACCTTGGGTTAGGTTGTGTGTGTTCACGTGAATGCCTTGTTGCTTGGTTTTGTCGTATAGTGGCTAAATTAGCCTTTTTTGTCTGGTGGTGGCTAAAAAAGCCCAAACCTCTCTTCCCAAACTAGACCTAAATACCTAGTTATTAGTATCTGGCTTTTTTTATTTATATAAATGATCTATTTAAATTGATACAAAAATTAAAACAATTTGAATGGCCAAGATAAATCAAAAATAAGTCCAAAAAAATACCAATTTAACCCACTAAAACATAAAACATGGTAGAAAGTTAATAAGATAAAATATCACATCAAAATCATAATCATTTTATTATTTTTTCTCATAAAACTATAAAAAAAATTAAAATTTTCTTTTCAAACTGAGTTTTTTTAACCAATCTAAAATAATTTTAAAAAATTAAAAAAATTCTTACTAAACGAAGGTTAAACAAAACCCTCTAATCGAATTAATAGAGTAGAGGGGTAGCTTTTTAAAAAAATACAATAAATCACATTCAAGTAGAATATTACATATCAAATACTCTACATGTACACAAAAACTAATCCATTATTTCTGATTTAATAATTATAAATATTTTAAAACCGTCATAAAATTTTGACAATTTCAAACTTGTGTCTTCTCTCTCGGATGCGAATAGCCTTTTTTGGACTAAGATTCTTTGTAAAATTTTAGTACAATAATGTTATAATGGTTGGGTTACAAATTAATACACCATCTACACAAATCATACAATAACATGATTTTAATAATTTCTTAAAAATAATTAAGACTTGATTACGAGGTTATGTATGTCCGATTAATTTAATTTTTTATATGAAAGATATATTTGATGAACCCTAAAATTTAAACTGTTAAATATAGTATATTCTCTGTACATATCTTAGTTGTTAAATATATTATATTTTCTGTATATATCTTAGCTTCTCTCTTATATAAAGGAGATTGTAGTATTCATTATTCATTCAATTTTCAATACAAGAGTTTCTCTTTTCTCTTTTCTCTTCTCTCTCTACTCTCATAACATGGTATCAGAGCCTAGGGTTTTCTCCTAGCCTCCTCTTCTTTTTCATCACATATATTTTTTTCTGTCTGGCAATTTCATTCTGCCTCATGTTGGTTTCTGTTGATTTCTGCGTATGTAGTTCATCTATGTTTCAACGATTAGACTATACCAACTTCTTCGTCTCTTCAAGACGAATCCAATGCCACCAAAATCGCATTCATCCGATGACGCACACGCCCCCATGCTCGGCCAAAAATAGGCCACGCGTTGCGACGCTTCCTACGTGCCCCACGCACCTCCTGCTCTTGCCTCTCGCTATCTTGCACCGCAGCCTCATCTACTAACGTGAGCCGTGTGTTTCTGATGTCATCGCTGACGTCAGCCCTAGCGTCTTGTACGCCACTGCCCTACTTGCTAACATGCACCGCGCGCACCTCTACTAACGTGCACCATGCGTTTTGTGGCGTCATCTCCCTTGTTGTGACGTCAGCGCTTGTTCTGGTTGACCAACTCAGTTCAACAACTCTGACCAACGGATTCACTGTTTTTATGGTCGCTTTTTGGCTTGTTCAGACCATATCCTGATTGTTTTTGGCCTCCTGAATCTGCTGGTGTGTTCTGTTTTGGCAAAATCAGTCTCTACAAAGCACCTTCTTCTCTTTCTTTCTTTTTTCTTCTTTGAGCATCATGGATCGTTCTGACAACATCCATTTAGTCTCAATTACACTTGATGGGTCCAACTATGTTCTCTGGGCCCAAGCTCTCTCTGGATTCATCAAAAGGAAGTGACTTTGGCATATTATCACTGGTGCTCTTTCTAAACCCATCTATGAAGAAAAAGAGACTACATCCGCTTTCGATAAGCGTCTTGATGAATGAGAAGGGAAGAACTACCAGATTATCACATGGTTCCGAACTACTTCTGTTCCTTCCATTCGCCTTCAGTTTGAACGCTTTCAGGATGATAGTTCCATTACCTCTCCTGCCAAGGCAATTTGGGATTTCTAGGAGAAACACTATCAGACTACTGGAGATGCTCACCAATATCAACTCCTACAAACTCTTCATCACATGTGCCAAGAGCTTGGTCAGCCCATCAATGATTTTTTTATCCCATATGTCATCTATTTGGGACTAGTTGGCTCTCTCTGAACCTACTTGGGCACATTTTGAGGATGCACAATTATTTATTGTTCATAGGAATAATTGTGGCCTACCTGCCAATCACTATCTACTTCAGTGCCCAGTTTGTGAATGCTTGACTTGCCACATGACTGCTCCTGGTCATCTCCAAAGCAATTGTCCTCGAGCTACCTATGTTTCTTTATCCAAGAATGGGTCTTCACGCTCTAGGCATCAGTCCAAATATAGTCACGGTTCTCGTCCCGCTACTACTGCTGTTGCTACATCGAAGGATTCTTTCACTCACCGCTCTACTGATTCTACTACTCCATCATTTTCCATAGACGATGTTGAATCCATTATCCAATTGGTGCTTGCCAAATCCAGTACTCTTCCTTCTCCTGCACTTTCAGTAACCTCAGGTAATTTTTCATGGTACTTTAATTTCACCTGCTGTAATCATATAACCTCTGATTGTTCTATTTTTTCTTCTATCTCATCATCCTCTTCTGTTCTACATATACATACTACTAATGGTTCTCATATGTCTATTAGTCATATTGGTCAAATTTTTATTTCCATTGTATCTCTTTCTAATGTTTATTACATTCATGCTCTTAAATTGAACCTTATCTCTATTGGTCAATTGTGTGAAATTAGTCTCCCCGTCACATTTTCTACTAATGGCTGTTTGGTGTAGGATCCTCAGACGAAATAGATCCTTGGGATAGGTCGTAGGCATGGACGTCTGTTCGAACTTCTTCATATTCGCATTCCATCTATATCATCCACTACTGCTTCTATTACCTCTTCCGCTGCCTCCACTTTATGTTTTCTTTTCACCTTTGGCATTATTGTTTAGGACATGTCTCTTTTAGTCGTTTAGAAACTTTGGTTTCTAATGGTCAGTTAGGTTGTGTTGTTTTTAAAGATGTTGATTGTTTACCTTGTTAAATTGTTAAACAACCTGCATTATCTTTTAATAAAACTAACTCTATTTCTACTGCCCCATTTGATCTTGTGCATTTAGATATTTGGGCACCCTCCCCCACACAGACCATGGGGGGGTCTAGATATTTTGTAATTTTTGTTTATGATTTTTCTCGTTATACTTGGATATTTCTTCTAAAAAATCGATCTAAACTTAACAAATTTACTATGATTTCTCTGCTATGGTCCACACTCAGTTTTCTCATACTATTAAACTCTTTCGTTCTGATAACACTATGGAATACTTTAATTCTGATTTTCTTTTCTTTCTTCAGGCACATAGTACCCAATCTCATCGTTCTTGTGCAGGCACGTCCCAACAAAATGGTCGCGCCGAAAGAAAGCATTGTCATATTCTAAACATTACTTGGGCGCCCTTCTAATCTCTTATTCATGTCTTGAAAAGTTTTTGGAGGGAAGCTGTTGTCTACACCATAAATCGCGTGCCTACTCCTCTCATAGCTAATCTCCCTCCTTATGAGTGTCTGTATGGTTCTTCTTCTACATATACCACTCTTAAAGTTTTTGGCTTTACTTGTTTTGTTCTCCTTCAACCTCATGAACACACTAAACTAGAAACTCATTCTCGTCTTTACTTTTTTCTAGGATATGGTATAAAATATAAAGGGCATCGCTGTTAGGATCCAGTCTCTAAGCGTCTTCATATTTCTCGTCATGTGATTTTCTGGGAACACAAAATGTTCTCCACTTTCTCTAAGTTTCACCTACCTCGGTCCACTCATTCCCTGTTTTTTACTGATCTTTCTATAGACTTGATGTCTCCTGAATTTGATGCAAATTCTGGTCCAACGACTTCACAGTTTCCTATGCCTACGGTCAATTATGAGGTTTCTGTATCTAATAATGGTCATGTGCCTCCTCTATTACCTCATGTGGAGCTTCCTCCATCATCTCCTGTGGAGCTTTCTTCATTCCCGCCAACATCTCCTCTAGCAGATTGTCATGCAATCTCTGTCTGGTTCCTCTTTCTATACATCAAACTTTGCAAACTTCTCCATGCTTTGTATGATTTGAAACAAGCTCCTCGTGCCTGGTTTGCCAAGTTCAATTCTACTATTCATGACTTTGGCTTCTCTTCCAGTGCCTATGATTCTGCCTTGTTTATATGTCAGACAGAGCATGGTATTATTCTTCTTTTTCTCTATGTGATGATATGATCATCACTGGAGATGACATAGTGGGCATCTTTAGTCTCAAACAATTCCTTAGTCATCAATTTGAGATGAAAGATTTAGGTTTGCTTAGTTACTTCATCAGCTTGGAAATTTCTTATGATCCTTCTGGTTACTTTCTCACCCAAGCCAAGTATATCTCTGATCTCTTGACTCGTGCTGGTCTTACCGATTGCAAGACTGCCATTACTCTAGTTGATCCTCAAACTTGTCTCACACCTCTTGATGGTCACCTATTATCTAATGCTACTTTATATCGTCAACTAATTGGCAGTCTTGTCTATCTCACAGTTACTCGTCCAGACATCGCCTATGTTGTTCATATTGTAAGTCAATTCATGGCTGCTCCTCGCTCTCCACACTATGATGCTCTAGTTCGCATGTTGCGCTATCTCAAAGACACTATGTTTCATTGTCTTCACTACACAGCACATTATTCTCTATAGTTACATGCATTTTCTTATGCAGATTGGGCAGGGGATCCTACTAACCGTCGTTCTAGTACAAGGTTTTGCTTCTTCTTGGGTGATTCTCTCATTACCGGGCATAGCAATAAGCAAACTCTTGTTGCTCGTTCTAGTACTGAGGTTGAGTATCGTGCTCTTGCTGACACTACTCAAGAGCTTGTGTGGCTTCGTTGGCTTCTTTCTGATATGTGAATTTCTCATCTTGCTACCACTAATCTCTATTGTGACAATCAGAGTGTTATTCAAATTGCACATATTGATGTCTTCCATTATCACACCAAGCACATTGAGATTGATTGTCACTTCATACGGTAACATGTTACTGGTGACACTGTTCGTCTTATCTTTGTTATCTCTGTTGATCAAATAGCTGATATCTTCACCAAGGCTCATCCTCCAGGACGATTACTTTCTAAGCTCAACTTGATATCTGTATTACCATCTTGAGGGTGTTAAATATAGCATATTCTCTGTATATACCTTATATGTGCATATAGCATATTCTTTATATATACCTTAGCTTATCTCCTATATAAAGGAGATTGCACTATTCATTTATTCATTCAATTTTCAATATAAGAGTTTCTCTTTTCTTTTCTCTCTCTACTCTCATAACATAAACGGTTCGAGTTATCAAAATAGGCCCGAGAAACCCCCTAAAAACACCTCACAACATATTTTAAGAACTAAATTCTTTTGTTCCTAAAGTTAATTTGTTTTATTATAGAAAAAACATAAGATTCAATATGTAATTAGAATCGTTTCAAAAAGTTCAAAATAAAATAAAATAATGACAATTTAAAATTTTTCATTAATAAATACACGAGTAACATAACAATTTTGTGCCAAAATATTTAATGAAAATTTTAGTTCCAAAAAAAATATATGTATAAAAAAAGGGAGTTGTTTGTGCAACACATTTTTAATGAAAAGTTGATAATTTAAAAGTGGAAGTCATAAACATCTCTTATTTAATTTTTTTTAGCCTATTTAATTTATTTTTACCTAATAAGTTATAAGTATAAATTGCACCAAACAACCTAGTATAAGCATCCAAAATAAAAATAAAAATAAAATAAAATAGCTCTGATAAGCTGCACAGAACATCCCAATAATTCATTTTTAAATGTTCAATTTCATTGCTAAAAATACAACTTATTTTTGACAATTAATATATTTTATATCTAAGAAATTATTTCGTCTCCGAAATCTTATTTCTTACTATTTAACTTATTGTAGTGAGTTTTATTAATAAACGTACACTTAAATTTTTTTGGAATAATTGCAACAACAAAAAAAATTAAGATTTGAGTCTTATACAAAATAAATTCTGAATTTTATCAGTTTAAATATTAATTTTATTTATTTATTTTTAATCTAAATCATTCACCTATTTTTATTAAGTAAAATTGACAGAAAAAACATAGTTTTATCAATTAAAATATTATTTTTTTGTCAATTTTATTCAACGAAAATAGGTAAATATGAAATTGAAAATAAATCAAAATTTTAAAATTAAAATTTAAAAAAAAATCAGAATTTATTGTTATAATAGTCAAATTTTGAAAATTTTCTAAAAAGTTTTTATCAAATCAATGACAAAAATTGAAAGAAGCCAAAAGACAAAAAAAAAAATAATAAAAAAAAAAATAAAAGGGCCCATCCTCATCCTATTCTTATCTATCCTCTTATGCTTTGATTTTTTGACTTTTGAATGTTGTAACTATTTTAGTCTAAAGTTAAAAAATCTCGTTTGAAATAAATTTTTTAATTTTTATTTTACTTCTATGAAAAAAAAAAAAATTATAATTTAAATATAATATTTTATCTTATTAATTTTTGAATTTTTTTTCTTATTTTTATAACTATTTTACCTAAAAAAAACCTCAAGCTTCTTCGTGCCGAACAAGCACTTAATTGATTACAGTAGCTCGCCAAAAGCTGAAACCTCTCTCTCTCTCTCTCTCTCTCTCTCTCTCTGTAAATTACACATCTGAATTGCATTGAAGATTCGGTCAGATCAGTCACACAGAGAGCGAGAGAGAGAGAAAAGAGAGTATCATTTAAATACAGTGAGCGCATAACTGTGACAGGTATTAAGGTGCCCAATACACGTATGTGAGTCTGCTTGGAATGCTACACTCACCAGCTATCTACCAAACATACACACACACATATTTCTTATATCAGAAAACTCTATGCTACACTCGGCTCCAATAGTGTGTATTATATATAGTAGTTATTATGTATTTTTATGATAAATATTATTAAAGGGGTGTTTGAGATTTTCTAAATGAATATATTTTTTAACTTTTTATAAAAAAAAAAAAATTAAAATAATTATTATTTTAATATAATATTTTATTTTATTAACTTATTAAGGCCTAGTTTGGGAAGACTAAATAAGTGTACTTTTTGACTTTTTATGAAATATGGGTTAGGTTTGAGTTGGGTTTGAAGTGATGTTATCTTGGAATTAGATACACAGCCAAACAGAAGATCAGACCAACTCTCTAATCCGAGGCCTTCAAACACAAACATTAATTCTTAGTATATATAACAACTGAAGATTACAAACAAACAAAGTGTTAGGTACATATCAAAATCAAATCAAATCAAATAAACGTGGGTGTCCACAGTTCTGCGAGTGCTCAATTATATGAATGGGGCAATGCTCATGATCATAACACATTTGTCGCACGTTTTTAAATCAGGCTGCTTATGGCAAACTTTTTTAAGTAATTGAAGGGTTGTTTGGGGATGAGTTAAGTAAGTATATTTATTTGGATTATATTATTTTTTATTTTTTTTTACACATCTTTTAATAAAAATTAAAAAATACACTAAGGCCCGTTTGTTTTTCTCTTTCACAGTT